AGTCTGAAGATGGTACACAAAAATTAATGTTCATAATATCAGAAGCCATACGATCGATATTGTTATCAAGTCTGCCGAAATTCTCCAATCCTACTGAAGCCACGAAATCACAGTCAACAATGCACGCACTCGGTATACATCCACACAATTCGCATTCAGAATAGTCAAAATTCCCATCACTAAAAGAACTGTACACACAATGCAAGGCTTGTTCCGAAATTCTTATTTCATCCCGCTCGGGTTTATATTTAATCTCTACCTTTGGTTTAGGTATTAAATTTTCTGCTGCAATCATTAAACGTATTCCAAACATACGCATGAAATTACGGCCCAACAAAACTGAATATGACATCAAATTGTCCGGAATAATATACATTTTTATTTCTTTAGTAACATTTTTAAACTGAACTTTAACCAAAATTACACCATACGTGCAAATTTTAAATCGTCCGAGCCCCTCATATCCAGAATATTTCATGTCCCTTCGCATTAGTTGCCTTGGGACCGCTGAATGCTTCATCAAACTAATTGGACTACCTGAATCGAGAAGAGAAACCAAACTCTTACTTATGTGCACAGAACCATCAGTCAGAAAAGTAACACTCACCTTATTAAGCTCTTCAAGAGCTATACACGATTCTCCAACATCATCAATTAAAGCAACTTGATTGCTTGTCAGTGGTGGTCTCGGCTTCGGGAAATTTTTAAGTTGATGCTGAGTTGATCCACATCGAAAGCAGGAACCTTTCTCTCGCTTAGTGGCTGAACAGGCCGCAGAACGGTGGCCATAGCCCGAACAATTGGTGCATTGAATGTTGGATTCGGAAAATAAATAAAATGATTTCGATTTTGGTCGAGCACTAGGGGGCGGTTGAGAAAAAATCTGAAGTTGTGAACGTGACACTTCATGCAATTGTGCATACCTATGCGACAATTTTTTCAAACGAATAATGGTTGTAGCTAGATACAGAACGGCAATGTGTGGCGAGGTATCTTGGAACCCAGCAATAATGAACTGAACGGTTTGCTCTTCTTCAATATGAGCTCTTGATGCAATTTCTTGCATTTTTAAAATATAACCCATCACACTTGTTTTTGCTGATTGGAATATGGTTTTTCGTAATTTGTCAATAACCTCACTGACGGAATATATGTGACCAAAATTCGCTAAAAAATTTGCTCGAATTTCTGAATATGTTGCTGAACAATCGGTGCGTAAAAATAATTCGGCTTCTGAGTCACTTTTCATGAATTGACGGAAGAATTCAGATGATGAGCATTAATCGTGTCACACGCTCGTTCAAAATCTCCAAGCCACTTCTCGGCGTCGTAGTCGTCAGAACCGCTGAATAACGGAACCAAATGCTTAACGTCTTTATAGCTGGGTTTCATAAATTGCTGAACTAATGGAGAACACATGCCTGATTCCAATTCAAAAATTCGCTTCTTTTTTCTCCAATACACGCAACTTTGCATCTAGCAATTCTTCTTCCAA